TTATGATCTAATTCTGATATATTTTTTATGGTAGCTTCTAGTTATGTAAGTAAAAAGAAACAATTAGTAAAATTAACTTTTCACCCTTCTAATTAAATAATTGAATCTTTTATTAGTTTAATAATAATTGCTAAATTTTAAATATTTTAAAAATATTTTCTTTTATGCATTATAATATTTTTTTTACATTTTCTTTACAATTACATTTGGATTTTATTAATTATTTCTTTTAAACATGTTTTTAGTTAATATATTGATTAAAATATTTTATACATTATAATTTATCTTATATAGATATATGTTTTTAGACCTTCTCTTTTAATATTCTTTTTCTTAATCTTATCTTTAAGAAATTTATGTGATAAATGGCTTTTTTTAAAATAAATTATCACTATATTTAACCAGTTTAAAATTCTAGTTACAAATACATATTTAATAATATCTAGTAATTAGATTAAGATAATATGCTATATATCAAATATTAATTATATGAGAAAATTTTTGAATAATAATTTGTCATACTAAATTAATGTTTGAGTTAGCATTTATAACTATTACTGTAAATCTTTAAATTCCAATATCATTTAAAATTATTTTAATTATTTTGCAAAATATTTACTAGTGTGATTTTGATTTGATAAATCCTATATACGTTAAAGAATATCTTTTCTATTTAAAATATGAAGTATAAAATTCTATAAAGATTTTCCTATCAGATCTATTCAACCATCTAATACTATATATGTAAAAAAATAAATTATTAGATAAAAATTAATAAAATATAATTAAAATCTAAAAATAAAATAAAAATTATTTATCTAATGTTAAATTACTTTTTTGTTTAAGTAATTGATAAACTTTTATATTAATATAAATAATTTCATCATTTAACAAACTTTTAGAAAGAGTTTTTCTATTGGATAAATCATATGATAGACATAATTATTTAATAAATCAACAAAGAATAGATATTCAATAAGATGTTAAAAGTCTATAATATACAAATAGTTTTAATAAATAATATTTTTATATTAACCTTCTTTTCTTGAGATAAACTTTGAATTTCAAAAAAATCTTCTAAGTTTTTTGCTTATTTGTATTTCATTTTTTTCTGATCACATTTTCTGAAAACTTTTCATATACTTTTATAATATATCTTATTGCTTCTTTAATTTCTAAATTAATTTTATTGCAATTAATTAAGATATAACATTCTAATGTTGATATTTTCTCCTATAATTATGTTATTAAATAAGCAAAACAAGTTGCAGAATGGTAACCATCACTTTGACCTAAATCTTTAATAAAAAAATTTTATATTACAGTATGTAGCCTTCTACCTTTTTTTCTAATTTAATAACTTTATCTAATATTACTTTTATTGAATAATAAGCATATAAAAAAACAGTTTTCTAAAAAAATTTAAAAAAATATATTATGTTTCTGATTTTATCTTTATATAAGATTAGTCTAATTATCTATATTAAATAAATATTAGGTAACATATCAAAAAAAATTTAATTGATTATAAATTTTAAACTTTAATTTTAAGTTTAACTATATATAGTTAGTATATAAAATTCAAGTCAAATGTTTACTACGTTATATGTAAAAAAAATTATATTTTGTAAATAGATTTTATAATCTGTATAATAAATAATTACAAAATAAAATATATTAAAGAATTTTAGAGTTTTGCCATTTTAGTACTAATTTTAGATTTCAGTATAAGTTTTAACTTTTAGCACAAGTTTTAGATTTTGATATTAGTTTCAAATTTTTGATTTTAAACATCAATTTTAAGTTTAGGATTTTAACATACAGATGATTAATTCTAAATTTAAGTTTTGATTATTTGCTAAATTCATATATATTTCAACATATATAGATTTTAGCATCCAATACTATATATTAATATATATTAGAAAACTAGTTAGTTAATCTATTAATTAATATTAATCATGCTTAAATATTAGATTTGAAAAAAAAGTAAATGCAAATAAAATCAAAGATTGATAGAAACTTAGTCTTTATTATTAAAAATATACTTATATAATTTATTATAACTTATAATTTAATTTTAATAACAAATAACTTATTTAATAAAATATAAAAATAAATATAAAATAAAATACAAAATATTATAAAATTTATTTCAATTAATCATTTTTTATTATAAAACTTATTGTAAAAATTATTATCAATTGACAAAATTTATATAATTTATTTAAATAATAAAATTTGTCTTTAATATAAAATTTGTTACAAATTTTATTTTTATTAATAAATTTATCTTAAATAAATTAAGAATTTCAATATAAATTTTAATATTAGATGTACAGTTAATAATTGATATAACAAATTTTAATACAACGATTAATTTAATATAATAAATTATTAGTGTAAAATAGATTTTAACATATAAAAAAGATTTTAATATAGCGAATTTTACTAATTATATTTGTTATAACCTTATGCAAAGTTAAGTTCTTAAATAATATATATAAAAATGACTTTTAATATAATGAATTTTTTTATAACATAATTTTTTTTACTTTAACAAATCATATAATTTTACAAGTTAATTTTATTGGTTAATCAGTTAATTATCTTATAAATAACTTAATTTCAAACTGTAATAATTCAGTCAATATTAATGCTATAAATATGAAATACTTACTATTCGAATTCTCTTAATGAGATAATCTAATAATATTAAAATAATAAATATTTAATTACTGAATGTCTAGATCTATCAAAATATATTTAAATATTCAAAGTAAAATAATTCAGTTAATATTAATACTATAGATATGAAATATTTACCTTTTAAATCCTCTTAATAAAATAAATCTAATAATAATAAATCATAAAATTCTAATCATCAGTTGCTAGAATTGATTAAAATATCTTTAAATATTCTATATAAAATAATTCTACGAATATGAATTCTACAGATATAAATATCTACCATTCAAATTCTCTTATAAGACAATTCTAATGATATTAAAATTATAAAATCCAGTTATTAAATGTTAAGATAATTATAAAATAGGATTTTTATTTTATGTTATATTAAATTATATAATATAATATTAATGAATTTTTTATAATGAAAGTTTGATTAGTCTGAAAACTTACTTTGTTATATCAAGTATTAATTGTATAGAAAGACCATTAAATCTAATTTACAAACTTTAAATTTATAAAAAGTGAAATGAGATAAGTATATTTTTTTAGATAATCAATTTTATATAATTTTATTCACTTATTCTTTTTAAAGCTAAATTGTTTATAAGTAAATTAATATAAAAAATTTTTATATTAAAAAAAATATAAAATTTTGATTGTGATATATTATCATAATTTTGAAAAAAAAAGTTTTTTTATTAATATATGCATATAATAAATATAATAATTATGATTTTATCTAAAATATATAAGAGGCAATCAGTAGAAAAGAGGAAAATCCACTTTTTAGTCAAAAATTTTTTTATTGGTTTACTCTGCTGATCATGGTCATGTAAATAAAACTAACTTAATAACTAAAATTACTCAAAAGTTGTAGATTTCCTCCTTTTCTATTGACTACCCTCATATATAATGTTGATTTTTTAGAAACTTTACTTTTATTCTAATAATGAAGGATTATACACTTATTCTTTAATATATTTTTCATTTTTGCTCTCTAAATAATAAAAAATTGATCCTATTTTTTAATAAATCTATAATTACATTATGATCTCTTTCATCTCTTAATGCAGTTTATGTTATCATCTATAATATCTTCAATAAGATTGATGATAATTAGCTTTCATGTAATAAATCTCTATGACAATATGATATAGAATCTGTGATTAATGTAATGAAATAAAAGCAATGCCTAACCTTTTTATTTTATTAAAGACAACTTATATAAAATTATAATTAAAAATGAGAAAAATAATCACAATTAAAAATTCTTACCTGTAGTCATAATTCTCAAATCATTTATTGAAAGCTCAGACCACCTTTCATTTTCTCTTATTTGTATGGTAGAAGTATCACATTTTATATTACCTAAATACTCCTGATTATGCATCCCTTTGGTAATGCAAATAAGTTTCTTATTTAATGAATCATAAATCTTGCAAAATAAAGTAACAAGACTGTGCATTATTCATATATTAAAGCAATATTACTTCCTGCCATATGTGTTGTTAAGAGAATTGTTAAAAAGAAAATTTAATTTGAATTCATTGACAAAGTATGAATTGAATAGATTCTTTAGTATCTAAAATGGAATTATACCCGGGCATTAATTAGGAAATTTATTATATACCCGGGTCTTTTAAAGTGGTCGAAATTAATTTACCAGGTATTCAAAAAATTTTTATATGAATATCTCGGTAATTTATTATACTTGTATGCTTAGAAAATTAGATAACTATATGGGACTTTTGCAATAGAAAAGGGGGGAAACGGCTGGAAAAAATAAAAAATGAGTTAGTGCTAAATCTGAACGTATTTTGACCTAAAAAAATCATATAAATATAAAATAAAATTTGTCCCCTTTTCTATTGCAAAGGTCCCATATAGTTAAGCATGTTTGGACTTAAAAATCCATCAAAAAATAACCCATTTGATAAATATTACTTGATTGTAAAGTCGGTCAATCTCGAATTTTAAATAAAGTTCAGACCTGATATTATTTTTAAAGAAATTTCATGATATTACCAAACTTTTATTCAAATAAGTAGTTGTAAAGACTTTCCACTTTCTATGAATTTTTATGTTTAGGGATGTTGTTTGCACAAACTTGTATTAAATAACGATAATATTAATCAACATAAATAATTAATACATAAGTTGAATAAATTCAAATCCTAAATTACAAGTGTTTACTATAAAACATTATAAAACAAAATAACAAATAAGGTATTAAAGAAATTAACTAACATATTGTATGTTTCGATTATTAGTATAATTAAAGAACCATTATCTCATATATATTAAGTAGTTTAGGGTACTATCACAGACCATTCGTGTGGAATTTCTCCATATTGTATGCCCATTAATATATCAGCAAATCTTTTAGTAATAGGCCCTGCAGCCCTAGAAGTATCATTTGGATCTAAGGGAACATTAAAATCGCGTCCACGATAATGAATCCCTTTTATGGGACTTACAATACATGCGGTACCTGCCCCAAACATTTCTAATAAACGACCCTCTTCTTGAGCCTTTATAACTTCAAGCATTGTAATCTTACGCTCAGACACTTTAAATTCATTCCATGATCGCGCAAGGCTTAATATAGAATCACGAGTCACCCCTGCAAGAATAGTTCCATCTAATGGGGGTGTAACGAGTTCTTTTTCTGTAGTCACAATAAAGAGAGCGTCATTACAAGGAATAAAGTAACCAAGTATACAAAGAAAAATATACTTTACCACCCTGTTCATTTTTTAAATGGACGAAACAGTTCATTGTGCCAACTTCAGTGATTTCATCGTCATCACCAAATAACCACAAATTTTGCTGATACCCTTTCTCGGCAGCTTCAAGTTGAGGTTTTACACAAGGTGCATAGTTTCCACCAATCTTTGCGTTTCCGGTACCACCAGGCCAGGCTCTAACACAATCAGTTGTAGCTAACAACTGAACAGCACTGAAACCTGTCTTATAATAAGGGCCAACAGGGGAACAAATGATGAAAAGAAGAGCATGTGAACATTCTCCAACCCCTAATGTTGTCTGAATTCCAATAAGTGTTGGACGAATGTACAATGAAAATCCTCTTTCAGCCGGAATCCAACGTTCTTCGAGACGAACGAGTTTTTTTAAACATTCTAATAATTCGCCTTCATTGAAATCCTAAATGAGAGAGTGATATTATTAGTTTCGTCATAGAATTAATCAAAATGTCAGCAACTCACCGGTAATGTAATTCTTGCGGCCGATCTTTTAAATCTTTGCATATTCATGTCTGGCCTAAATAACCTTATTTCCCCATTCTTATCTTTATAAGCTTTCAACCCCTCAAAGCATTCGAAAGAATAATGGAACACCATAGCACTAGGCTCTAGAGAGATTTTCCCGTAAGGTTGAATGATTGGATCAAACCACCCTTGTTCCACTTTCCATTCGATTGTTAACATATGATCTGTAAACGCTCTTCCAAACACGAGATCTTTATTAGGTATAAGAGGTTTTAGGTTTTCAGAACGTTGAAGTCGAATTTTATTGTGCTGTTTAAAACAAATAAATTGATTTGTATATTTGGTTATATTTTACGAATATAAAGTTATCGTTTAATTAATTAATTTAAATTTTTTTTTTTTGGAAGACTAATTTTGTATTTTGTGTTTGCGGTAGAATTTCGTAAGAACAGTCCAATAATGCCGCACGCAAACAAAGGACTTACGTCAATGTCAGCATGCTGCTTTGCATTACCAGTTAACGTGGACTGAAACAGTGTCTGTTGAAAATTAGCAGGGAAAATTGTTGCTGCGCGTGGTAATAATAATCGAGTTGACGCTGGACGCATCAACGTAAAAATTCGGTTCGAAGCGAAAGAAAGCATTTTTTAACTTGATAATAAGATAATTGAATAACTATCTTAATAGATTTCTTCGCGACTTTGTTTTGAATTTTATTTATTTATCTATTGTTTTCAAAAACGGAGGGGGGAGAATTAAATATGGGAAATTTTTTTCATAATGACTCATATTGCATCAACGATTTTTGGTTGATATAAAATCAACCAATCATACTTCTCATAAATCAAGATAAGCATGTATATAACACGCGAAGCATGTTCTCTGATTAATAATTTTATCTATAAATTTTACAAGATTACAGATTTACGCGAAGGTATAAAGATATACCAACTAAAATACAAAAAATTATCTATCTATAGGCAAATTATGATCGCAAATATTTTTACCAAACTTGTTTTTTAACTTCTAAACATTTACCAATTATAAAGTAAGTTAAAGTGATCCAAGTTACAAATAAAATTCCTATAGAAAAAAAAAATAATCCATTACGCAAAAAAATAATAGATTGAAGAAATAAAGCAAGTAATAAAATACATTGTGTGAATTTTGTTCTAATTGACTCTTCAAAATCTTTTTGACTTATATATAAATCATCAAACTCTGCATAATTTATGGTCTCAAATAAATTTTCGGATGAAGAATTAGTACCTTTCCATGTCCAGAATTTATTAGGATTCAAATGATGACTTTCATAAGATATGTTTGGACGAATAGCGATGGGAGTTCCCTTACGAATAATGATTGATGTATCTTTTTTATTACGTTTTTCATCAGGAGTGTGTTCCTTCTCTCTATCTTTTTTAAGGATAGGTAACAATTCACCTTGACTTTGAAGTTCGTAATTATCGTGTTCATAATCCGTTTCTTCACGAACCACGAGCCTTTCCCATTCAGATTTTCTATTTGAAATTAAACACCTTCCAAAGAGGCTCATGATTTTTTGAGATTCGTGAGATTTTTTTAAACGCTTTGATCGATTTGAGTTGTTTGGTTGTTTTCTCAAATTGTAATTATTTTTTTCATTTGATTTTGGATTTGCTGCAGATTCAGCTTCGTTATTTTTGATCACTTTATTATCGTTGGTGGTTGAAAAATACCAAGCAGTGTCAAATCGTGAATACCATTCATGGTTTACTTCTGATGGATTTAAACTTTCATTGGACTTTTCAGTTAATGGATTTGGATTATCTGTTTTGGGAACAGGAATGGGAGTTTCTGATTGTTTTTCATAAGTTTTGACGTCGAAATTAAAAGATGAATTCTCGAATTTTCCTTTGCTATTTGTTTCATTAATTGGACAAGATTCAACTACTTTGATCGCAGAAATTTCCGAATATTCTCTAGTTTTAATGAGATTCTTAAGGTCATCTTCGTCATTTGAATTATTTTTTAAAGAAAAGTTCATGGACTTTGTTTTAATGAATGGATTTTTCTCTTTTTTTATGCCAGCAAAAGGATTGATTGGGGTTTGTTTTTTAAAATCCAATTCAAAAGGTGATGAATCCGAAGTGGTTGTAAATGGCGGTTGATCGGTTTTACTTTTAGAAGTTGATTTAATTTTATCTTTATTTGATCTCTGCTTTTTCTTTTTTACAAAACGCAAGAAATTTATTGCAAACATGATTGAACCAAGCGTTAAATTTAAAGATCGTATTGTCTTGGTCTATCTTACTGGGAATTCTTTTCCAATATAATAATAATAATAATAATAATAATAATTCTTTTTTTAAAAATTTTTATTTTTTTTAAAAAGAAATGAGCGATATTTAAACGAATTGTGTTTTTAAAATACGTATTGTATTAAATAAAACAAATGCCTTACCAAAAGGATTCTGCTAATATAATGCTCCTTATTCATCAAGAAGAGATCATACATCATCAATTTAACCCTTTTGGCAAAAGCAAACAAAAGAAACAAAAAATTTTTTTTTTGATGTTACAGCTCCTGCGAGCGCGTTACGCCTCCCGCAGTAAACAATTAAATTATCCCATAATCTCAAATTCTTCACAATTTTTAATCAATTTCTTCTCAATTTCTAAACTTCCTTCTAACTTACATAACAGTCCGAAAATACCGAACATTAGCTTACAAATTTAGCTAAATGATCAAATGGCCCGGACTCAAAAAAAAATTAAATCGAGAAGATTCAATAATACCAGATACCAAAAGATACATCAATGTATTTGGATTCGCTGTCTTCAAACAAACAACTGATCAAGTCAACTGACATTCCGATGACGCATCTTATAAATAGATCATCGATAAAATTTTTCAATCCCATAACTAAGTGCATGAGTGTAATGAATATAAATATACATCCAAATTACCCAGAAAATAGATCTTCAGTCCTTATCGAGGGGGGAGCAAAGTGCTTAATGAGGTCCCATCCGAGAGTACTTCTGCCGACAACCTATCAACCCCCTAATAAGATGTTTGCTTACATTGCGAGCATCAATTTTTGGAAAAATATTTCCTTTTAAAAAAAAAATATTATATTAGAGCGAGCGGGAAAATCTTTTTTTTTTTTAAAAAAAAAAAAATTTCTATTTTTTTTTTTTTATGTTGATTACAAATGAAATAAAATAAATAAAATTTTTTAAAATTTTCGAAAAGAATTTCTTCGGATTACGAATTCCAATTAGTCAAAATAGTTTATTAAATTTTTTTTTGAAACGACTCCTGAACAATTAACTCAATGACATCTAAACACGTGACAAATAAATCCCTTATTTAATCATCACAATTTTTCGTTTTTTTTCGTTATAGTTTTATCATAATGGTATAATGGTGCAAGTTGTTGATCCACATCCACTATTAGTCTTTTACAATAAATCTGTTGGTTCAAAAATTTGAATAAAAGAAAGAAGATACTTTTTTTTTAATGTGCATTGTGCGTCGTTACCTTATTTTATAAATTCCATAAGGGTTCACAAAAAAAACATAAAACCTGTAAATGCATTTTTCCTATTTCGATTATTTTTGATTTTTGTTATAACAATTTACATTCACTCGTAATTTTTTTTTTTACCCGTGCGCAAAAATCAAAAAGTAAAAGTAATATTAATAAAGGTTTCATAACCATTTCTCTATTTCATATTCTCTTGGAAGCTTGAAGGAGGTACTTTCTTGTATAATTTCTTTCGCAAAAAAAAGGATCTTTTTTTTTTTCTTTCCGAGAAAGATCAACATTTTGCGGTCAAAATGTCTTATTTATTTATTCGTTTTGTCTTTAACTTTTATTGCGAGATAAATAATGAGATTTTTTAATTATAATTCATATTATTATATATCTAGCAGTGACAATTTTTTCAAATTATTCTTTTTTACCAATAAGAAAAAAAAAAATAAAAAAAAACTTACCAAAATTCCACCCCTACGACACCACTCTGAAAACCATAAAGGCATGAGTATGAAATGGCTTTTTCAGCAGAGTCGGCACGCGGCAGAGCAACCTCAACAGAATAACAAGTTGGCAACACCTGACCAATTTACTTTTACTTGGACCGTTAGGGATTATCATGAAGTAGCAGATTTATATCCAACTGGAAGATGGTTTTATAGTGATAGTTTTGTTGAACCGAATAATCCTCAACAAAAAGGTGTTGGATTAGATTCTTCGGATTATTTATGGCGAATGTGCATGTATCCGAATGGAGTTTCACAAACTGATAAAAATTATTTGGGATTATTTTTAAAGGCTATTCCAACGGATCTTGAGAGGGATGGAAATTCGTCAGGAAGGGAACGAACGTATGCCTTTGAAGTATATCGTTTAGAATCTTCAATATGTAGTTCTTCTGCGTTAGGTTCGGTCACTCCAACCCCAGTTTTACTGAAAAATGAAAAATTCTCAAAGACAAGATTTGGTTTTGGATCTGATCAGGTGTTTGGACGAAGGCAATTTTTAAAATTGTCGGAAGTTTATCCAGATCCAACGAGCAAATTTGATCTGATAGTGAGAGTTCGCATCACAAATGAAGAAAATGCTGCATTATTAGCATCTTCAACAGATATGCCACATGGTGAATTCCCATTAGCTACTCAAATTCCTCGATATTTTGATGATGATCGATTTTGTGACGTTGAATTCACCTTTACATGTGGGTCAAGGATTAGGGCACACCGTATAATTCTAGCTTCGCAGTCGAAATATTTTGAATCTTTGTTAAGCGGACAATGGGTAGAAGGTCGCAATAAAATAATTCCCATCAAGGAAATTGATTATGAGATTTTTAGGTGCGTGATGTTTTATCTTTATACGGGAAAATTAGAAGAAAATCTGGAATTGGATACTCTCAAATCTGCATATATGAAAGCAGATATGCTTGGTTTAGAAACCTTTGGGAAATTACTTGCTAATCGAATCGCGGAAGATGTGAATGTTGATAATTGGGATGAAATCCTGCTGTTGGGATGGCAGATGGGTGATACATGTTTGAAATCTGCTGCTATGGGATTCGCGACAACGAGGTGGGAGGAACTTAAAAGTACAGAGAATATGCAACGTGTCGTCGGTTGCGGAAATATTGATTGGATAGAAGAATTGATATCTGCTAAAATCTTTGGCGTGCATGAATCAAGCCGAAAATAATTAATAATCCTTATAAATTAGAGCTGATTTATTATTTGTATTTACAAGATGGGTAATTAATCAATTGCAAGAACAATTTTTTTTTTATTTTATGCTGAAATCATTGGGATATGTAAATTTTTTAAATGGTGCGTAAAACAATTTCAATTTATTATTTTTATTTCATTTCATTTTTTTTTTGTCAAAAAAAAAAAATTATTTTATTTTTTTCTTTATGATGGATTGGCTAGAAATAATATATAGTACAACATTTTTGTGTACTTGGAAAAAAAAAAAAAATAAATAAATAAATAAAATATTTTAGCTTAATAATAATTTTTTTTTTTTAGATACAGATATCATTAATTCATGATATCAAAAATTTATTGATATAATAATTATCGCGTATTGCAACAATCATATTTCTATTCACATTGAAGTGTCATTTATTATAATAATTATTATTTTTTTTCCTTTGACGAAAAAGAACAAGCAAAATATACATTTATTTCCTGCATTTGTGTCACGTATGTTATAAATTAAAAAATAAAATTCAACGATTTTGGTTAGATTTATTTCACGTGATTAATACGTATCACTTTTTGCCACATGAAAACTCAATTTTTGCGCTCAATTTGAATTCAAACCATTTTTTCTTTAAGGAAACCAATAATGGCCACATCTTTGTTTCCAACTCCGGTACCTCGAAGAAAGTATCCTGTCGAATTCAAAGCCGGGAAACTTAAACGAGAGGAAGGCTCGAATTGGTTGAAGGCTGACGAAAGAAAGGGGTGAGTATGCTTCAATTCAACTTGTGTCAGTGTTCTTTGGTTAATCTTAACAAATTTATTATAAATTACTTTGTTATTTTATCTCTTTCACGTGTATTAGGCTCATATACATGGATCAGGTGAGTAAACTGATGTTGACTTTATATGAAGATTTCGTACTTGAACAAGTCCTTATTTTTCTGACAGGGTGAAGATCAATTGATGCATTTCTTCTGGAAAGATAGAAAAGCCAATACCGTGGAGGATGTAAGATTATTACAAATAAAAGTTTCAATCCTCTATTTATTTATTTGTTTATTTATTAAAAAATAAAAAAAATACATGGTTATCATTTGTTAAATAATTTCTCTTTTATAATTTAGGATTTCATTCTCTTCCCTGATGAAGCCGAATTTATTCGAGTAGATCAATGTACAACTGGTCGTGTATATATACTTAATTTCAAATCATCTTCCCGTAAATTATTTTATTGGATGCAAGATGCAAAAGATGAAAAGGATGAAGAAAACGTTGCAAAGTTGAATCGATTAATTAACGATCCCCAAGGTGGATTAGCGGAAAGTAGACAACAAAATAATGCAGGTCAATTAGGTAGTCCTTTTCGAAATATGGATGATTTGGGGTTTGGAGTGGATCAAGAGCAGTTGTTGCAATTACTTCAAGGCGGATTAGGGTAAGTGATATTTTTTATGATGCGGTAATTCATAAAACAATTAATGAGTTCTCTTTTTGATTAGTGGGCTTCCCATCACGTCAACTACTCCTGCCAGCGAGCCACAATCTGCCACAGCTGCGACTTCAGAAGCTGGTTCTGGTGCACAGACAACTGAACAAAGCACTGGTTTTACTCCCGAACAATTGGAACAATTAGGTAGCTTGAGAAATGTTTTGCCAAGTATACAAAACCCAGGTACGTTTTCTTGTGTTTTAAAAAAAACTCCTTTGTTGAAAGTTTTAATTGAAAACCTTTGATTTTTTATTTTATTAGAGGGAGGAACGAGGCCTGGTTAGTGTTTATGAAAATGATTTGTATGATAAATAAT